TCTATCCATCCATTCATCCATCCTCCCATCCATCTATCCATCCTCCCATCCATCTATCCATCCATCCTTCCTTCTATCCATCTATCCATCCATCCATCCTTCCTTCCTTCTATCTATCCATCCATCCATCCATCCATCCATCCATCTTTCCATCCATCCATCCATCCATCCATCCATCCATCCATCCTTCCTTCCTTCCTTCTATCCATCCATCCTTCCATCCATCTATCCATCCATCCATCCATCCTTCCTTCTATCTATCCATCCATCTGTCCATCCTTCCTTCCTTCCTTCTGTCCATCCATCCATCCATCCATCCATCCATCCATCCATCTATCCATCCATCTCTCTCTCTCCCAAGGGCCCCCAAGCTGAGGGTGGGAAAGCCTGTCACTGGAAGGCTGGGGCACCATAGACACAGAGGCTAACAAGGCCTGTTCAGCAAGGCGAACCGTGGGTGGGAGGTACATTGTCACCCTTTGGAAGTTTGGTAAAGCCATTGGATGGGTTGAGATCACACCTGATTAATTGATGGAAAAGAAATACAAGTTTGGCTTTAACTCAGTTATCTCTCAGAGAATTTGACAGGAATGTACTAAGGATTGTTAGCAAAGTGGGCCAGGCCTTGTCAGCCTGCATTCCAGTGGGCACCACCATTTTGGTCCAAAGCATCTGTTTGTTCTGGAGCTTCTGAGGGTGCAGTGAAGCAGTGTAGCCCAAGCTTTGCCAACCTGAGAGGGCTGGAAAGTGGTTGCTGTGTTGGCCAACTTCTTCCAGGATGGAAGGGGCATGCTGTCGTGATGGGCCTGGTGACACAGCTCTGTCTTCGTCAGTCCTAGGACTCCACCAGACTTCCTGGCCCAAGGCCCAGTGGCTAGATCTGGCCTCTGTTTCCTTTCATTTTCTGCCAATCCACTTGAGACCTTCCTCTTCAAGTCACCAGAGACCAGGGACCATATTTCTTCCTCCTACTTGGGAAGCAAGGAAGGGAGCGGACTGTAGGGGAAATACAGAGATCTGTCCTGGAGAGCTCCCTCTGGGGCTTTTGGCTGAGGGTCATTGGATCCTAGCTTTATACATGGAAGGGACCTCAGAGGTTACTGATCCAACCCCCTTATTTTACAGAAGAGGAAACTGAGACTGAGAGGGATAAAGAGGCTCAGTCACTGCCCGGGGAGGGCGGGCTATAAACCTGGGTTCCGTCCGCCGTGCCAAGCCTGCGCTCTCTCTGTCATACGTGGCAGGCAGCCCTGCCCCTGCCCCAGCTGGGCCTCGGCTCAGATTGGGGCTGGGCTCCTGCTCCTCGGGATCTGCCCGTGGATGCCTTTCAGACAGTCTGAGGCCTTGTTGGGTGGGGGATGGAAGGGAGGCCCAGACTGCTGTTCCCAGGCCAGTCTTTGGCTTTGGCCTCAGAAGTGATCCATGGTTCACTTTCCCTTAGGGACATTGAAATGTGTCACTTATGGACACTCTTAGATTCAGCCTTGTGTCGCTGGGGCCAAAGGGAAGGCCTGGCCCTTGGGACTTAGAAATCCCTGCTCTTAAGTGGTGTGCACGTGTGTGTGTGTGTGTGTGTGCATGCACACATTTTTGCATGTGTGTATATGCACATGTGTGCGTGTGAGTGTGTAGGGCAGGGGAGAGATGGATGGACTGGGTGTCAGACAGTCCGGACAACCGGCCAGCGCGAGACTGCCTGTGAAGGAGGGCTTCCCCCCCACCCCCTGGCCTGCTGCTTTGGACCACGGGGCTCCTCCGCACACATTCTCTGCTCCAGCTGGTAGTCTCTTTGCCCATTCCCCTGGAAGGTGGGATTTGAGCTGAGACTTGGAGAAAGCCATGGAAGCTAAGAGACAGAGGTAGGAGGGAGGGCATTCCAGGCAGGAGGAACAGCCAGAGAAAATGCCTGGTGGGGAGAGATGACGCTTGTTGAATGACTGACAGACCGACCAGCTGACTGACTCAGACTTAGAAAGCCACCTGGAGGGACATCTGGGTGTCACAGTGGATAGAGCACTGGCCCTAGAGTCAGGGGGACCTGAGTTCAGATCTGGCCTCAGACACTTACTAGCTGTGTGACCCTGGGCAAGTCACTTAACCTTTGTTTGCCTCAGTTCCCTCAACTGCAAAATGGAGATAATAATTGCACCTCCTTCCCAGGGTTGTTGTGAGGATCAGTTGAGATCCTATTTTTTTAAAGTGCTTAGCTCAGTGCCTGACGCGTAGTAGGTGCCTAGTAAATGCTTGTGTCCTGCCCTCTTCTCCTGCCAGTGCCGGGCCTCTCTGGGGCTGCAGTGGGGCCAGGCCGGATCCTTGGCTCGGTGCTTTTAGCAAACACCTGAACTTGCTCACGAACAGCTGCGCTTCCTGCCTTCTTCCTCTGCCGAGATGCCTTCCCTTAAGCACAACCTTAGACGGCCATTCCTTTGCAGAGAGCTCCGTTTTCTGGAGGTAACAGTGGATTATCTTCATCTTGTCTTCTCTGTTTCTGGTTTCCTGGGCTTTCGTCAAGCCCTAGCCAAAGCTGTCCACCTCCCCGCTCTCCCACAGTGCTAGTGCCTTCCCTCTTAATGAACTGATCCTGTTGCCATCTTGTTTGTCTCCTCTCTTGACAGGGGTCTCCCCCATTAGACTGGGAGCACCTTGGGGGCAGGAACTGGGGTTTGGCCGTCTATCTCTTGTGCTTGGCACCTAGAAGGCATTTAATAAATGCTGTTTGACTTGGATGGATTCGAACCCTGTTCATTTTTGGCCCATCTGCCCTCTCCCTCCTTCACGCCCTCCAAATAGGAAAACCAAACCAGAGGGACCTTGGACGCCGACTCATGCAGCCCCCTCTTTCTTTACAAAGGAGGGAAACTGAATCCCAGAGAATGTGAGTCCCACAGGTGGGTAGGAAGTAGGAGCGTTGGAATTCTGTGCCCTTTTTACCGCCCTGGGATGCAGAAAGGCAGGCACACAGAAGCATCATATGAGTGCTTCCTAGGTGCCAAGCTTTGGGCCAGAGTGGGCCAGTGGATACAGAGAGAAGAGCAAGGCAGGCCCTGCCCTCAGGGAGCTCACCTTCTCCTTGGGGAAGAAAGACACATATTAGGAGAATTTGTTGGCCTCACCCCAAGGTGCTGGCTAGGGCCTCACTGGCAGGGTGGATGGCAAGGCCCTGTGGAGTCCTCAGGGGGCATCACACATATGCCCCCACCAGACATCCTGGAGGGCACCCACCCTCTGCCCTTTGGCAGGGGAGGGGTCCTGTGTCT